GCCAAGGTCTGGATTGAATGGAGTAGTAGTAGCTGGGATCTGAGAAGGGGGGAGACCTGGAAGAAACATTCCCAAGATTTTGGATTTTCCTTTGGTGAAGTGGAGTCGCTGAGGACACCAGCAGAGAACTTGCAGCCTCTGTAGGTTCACTGGCTGTGGGGCTAAGACTAGGGTAGATGCAGTGAGATCCTCTGGGAGGTTAGTATAAGCGGGGCCCAAGAGTGGGAGCAGCAGAAATGGAGACGTGATTGGATTCTGGAAATTTGGCAGGGGGTCTGTGTTAGGGGCTTTGCTGATTGGATATGGAATAAGAGAAGTTCAGAATTACTGTAAGGTTTATGAGTTGAGAAGCTAGTAAAAAGGAGTTTCTGTGTAAGAAACAAACATCTTTCTCCTGAGGTCCCTATGATCCTCGTTAATATTTAGAAGTTATAAATTAGAGAACTCATATTGTGTGGGAATGTGAGTGTCTAGAGAGGAGGCTAGAGGAAATTGCCAGTTTAAGAAGGCTGCAAGTGAAATATTTGTTGAAAGTTATAATGTGCCTTTTTTGAAAGAGAGGGATGCAGTCAGATTAGGGGCTGAAACCGCAGAAGGAGAAGCACACGGCCGGCCGGTGTTTGGAGATGGTGGTGATGGTGCTCAGGCACAAAACACGATAGAGTCCAACCTCGGAAATGTCTTTCTATTGACTTTTATTGATGGCAGAAGCCACAGTGTCATCATGATGTTTTTTTTTTCTTTTGTCTTTCTCAACCTGGTAAGTTATAAAACAACAGTGAATGATAGATGCAGATGATAAATGTAGAAAATGCAGGTGAAAAACTGTGGTGGTTATTGTTTCTCTAGTAGTGATGATTTTAGAAATTCCCCTTGATATGTATCAGACTTCTTTTAAGAAAAAATTATATATATATGTGTGTGTGTGTGCATATATATATATATATATATATATATATATATAATTTTTACATCAATCTTCATTTTATGCATTTCTTCATAACAGTTACATCCTCATGGGGCACCAGACTTCTTGTAGCTGTTTATCTTTACTTTTCTAAGATGTTTACATACATGTTTCCTGTGATAAACTGTTATTCAGGGCACTTGCATAAATGGTATATTAGATGCCTAAATATATCTAACTTCCAAAATGCTGATACAATTTTTAGTCTTTTGGTGGTCTTGGGACTCCAGGAGGTTAAGAAAACAGCGTGGGATGTTTTGAGCTAATCTAATTCTCCAGGGATCAACATTTACGGTTGGTGAATGAAATTAAGACCTGTTTCTGTAGAATGTGTTTCCCTAGGATAATTCATGATTAGCAGAGTGCTAGATATGTCTGTGGTGAGGGAGTAGGCTCTGGTTCTCAAGGGGTTACTGACTTAGTGAAGAAAATGAGAAGTATTTGAAGCAAGTGTGACAAGCCCAGGCTTAGATGCCCTTGAACATCCGTGAAAGCTGAAAGACAATTTCAGTCTTTAGTTGAGCTCCATGTAGTATGAAGACTTTGGGAGTTTGGGAAAGTTGGAAAATATTAAATTGAAATAATTTAAAGGGCAGTGTCCTCAGTGATATGTTTCACGTCTAACATAGGCGCTAGGGTTTGATGAAATGTTTTTAAAGGGATCATGAGTATTTGATCCAGGAAAAAAAAATGAAAAATAAATTGCAAGGCTGCAGTAGACCATTTTGAGAAGCTTTGACTAATGTAAAAAGAAAAGTAGAGTCACTGACAACACAGCAAATTTGGAAAAATGATTATTTAGAGAGAGCCCTGTTGGGAACTGATTTGATATGAAGAAGGAAGTGGGAGACTGGAACAATACACTATGCTTATAGGGTTTTTTTGCTTAGGTGGTGTTTAAAACATTTGCAGCACTCACATTCACGGCCTCCATTGTCCAGGATTTAAAATAATGTTCTCTTCTTGTAGGTATGGTTCTGATGGGATTCTGGTGTATGGACTAATAACTTGTGTCTAGATATAGGATGAAATAGATTTTCCTCTTTGTTTTCCTGCACTTCTTCCTTGATTTCTTTCCTCGTGCTTCTACATTTGTTTCATGTTTTTTATTGGCTTTGTTGGAAATATGTAAGGAAATCACATAATTTGTACTGAGGCATGAACGCCTTTCTTCTGCTTATGTTTCCACCCTCTGTTAATCTGTGATATAACAATCTTCCCTAGAGTAATTAATTGTAATTCCGAAAGCTGAACAATTTAACTTCAGGTAAAAAAAAAATAAGTGGCAAAAGTTGATGAACCTTCACAATAAATATTTATGTTTTATGCAGCTGCCACTAGTAATTAAGAGGAAATAACTAAGTAGAATGGACCCTAACTCGCTTGATTGCTCTGAGGGCTTGATGGATTTTCAGGACTGGACTCTTGTTAAGGAGCATTTTGTTGAATGTCTGGGACACACTGCCACCTTGTGGCTGCTTGCTTGCTTTCCTTATGGGAAAGAACACTTTAAAAATTATATATATACATATATATGTTTATATATGTGTGTGTGTGTATATATATACACACATATATATGTATATATATATATATGTATATATATATATAACATCTTTCTTCATTTGTACATTTCTTCATTTTACCCCTGCGGACTTCCCATCACCACTTCACCCATGTGCCAATTCCATACTCCCATGTGCTCTTCCCTCCCCCATTTTGATCTTGTTCCCCTTTCCTTCCTTGTAGAATGTCTCAGTTTATAGTTGTTAGTTGCTATTACTTTTTACTTTATTACAATTGCTACACACACACACACACACACACATGTACATATATATTTTCCTGATCCTTTACACTCCTGCTATGAGTGAACCATCTGGTATTTTTCTTTTTCTTCCCGGCTTATTTCACTAAGTGTGATCCCTTCCAGCTCCATCTATGTTTTTTAATGTTAAAATTGCATGATAAAATCTTACTTTCTTCTATAACCTATACTTCATCTTGATAGCAAAAGATTTCAAATACCTTATAAGAATACATAGAGTATTTGGGTATGTGAATCAAAGAGAACATCCTTGTTTTTAGATGAGACCTTGTTTTTTCAGAAGTATTGAGGGGTGCAGATCTACAATGTCTGCATTTAGCTTTGGGGAGAGAGCAGAGAGTGAAAACCAGCAGGCAAAAGGTTAACAAGTCATTGTTGGCTAAGGAGATATGGGTGTCTGTTGTACCATTCTTACAACTTTCACTGCAACTTTCTTTTGAAATTAAAAAAAAAAATTGGCAGAGAAAAAGAAATGATTTAAGGACAAAAAATGGGACCAAAGAGACAAAAACAATCTTTACATTGTGTAATGATCTGGCAACATTTGGACCACTGGCAGGGTCTACAGTTTTGTAATGGGTTTGTCACTGTTTCGGGTTCTCTTACCACAATTCACTGTCCATAGGTTTAGGGGCAGCATGTCTGCAAGGAGGTAGTAGTTCTTCCTTGGAGGCCCTCCTAAGTAGGATGCTGATGTAATGGAAAGCAGTCTCAACAAATACTGCCAATAGGTAGGACTTTATGATGGAAAGTGCTGTTTGTTTTACAAGTACAATCTGGAATTCCTTTTCCCTACTGACTTGGCTTGATTTTGGAGTAGCTGCACTGCTAGTTTTTTGAGGGCTTCTCAATACTAAGTGGCGATGAAATACAGTGACATACTGACTGGGAATGAATTTGAGATATTTATTGACAAGTGCTTGAAATCCAGCTGTTCCTTGTTACTGATGAATACAGTGCAGCTTTGGGAAGAGTTGACAATCTTGTAATAGCCCAGCCAATGGGGTCTGTTCTATTTGAACTAGTTGGGGAGATGCTCACAGATAGGCAGGGTAGATTTCTTCTTATGCCTTGGTTTTGAATATACTGCCCTGCACATGCAGGACAAATGGGGTGACTTTTGTGCCTGAATTTGTTCTACTATGAATGTAGTCATGATAATTACAATCTAAAAAATTTAGACAAATAGAAGCAGATGACTCTTTTTCTACCCATATAAGCAAAACCAAGCAAATTTCAATGAGGCATCCCTGCAGATGTCTGGCACTGAGCACTGCTACCCTCTGCTAACCCTCTGTTTCCCAAAGTGTGCAAGTTGACCATTTTCTGCAGTGGTTAGAATTTTCATGAATATCTTTTGCACTTCTTTTTAGTTCTTAGTAACTACCTGGATGTCTAGTTAGCACAGGACTATTCACCTCTTTAAAAACTATATACAACTATGTGCATACACGCTTGAAGGTGAAGATCTGGCCCTATTCAGGTTTGCAAGATTTTCTTATAAAAGTGGGTAGTTTTGGAAATTGGTGTTGTGACACCCTGGATTCTTTCGTAGAAAGCTGTCTGTTAAAGTGATTTTGGTTTCTGATTCTTGAGACAGCTTTTCTTTTAAAAAAAGCTATAAAGTGATACAGGGATGTATCGATTTCCATTAAGGACTGTGGTACTTAGAGTTTTCCCTTTCCTATGTATTTGTAAGCGTGCCAAAAGTTTGTGAATTTTCTTTTGTTGGACAACTAAAAAAAAAATAGATCTATTGTCTCAGTGCAATAGCCTTCAGTTTTGAGGGGACTCATGATTCACAGAAAGGTACTTGGTAACTCAGGAGGCACAAATGTGTGCATGCACGCACACACAAACATGCAAATTAGTGAGACAATTCATGAAATGATGATGCTGTCCTTCCTTCGCTGGACTCTGATAGTTTCTATTGGATTCCCTTAAAAAAATACGGGTCACAGTCTACTAGATTGTAACCTACAGATGGAAAAACACTCTTACTGCGATTTTGTGGCAAGCTAGATTCTCAGATGGAACACATCACAGTGAAATTCTGAACTCTCCAAGCTAATTAAATTCACACAGGTTAGAGAGAGAAGGAATCTGGAGAAGAGAGGAAACGAGGAAAAAATGCCGGGTTGTTCTCTGGTTTTGGTTGTGCTGAAAGCATCTCCAGTAGTGATGCCTCTGTCCTTCTCTCTGCAGCTCGACCACATATTGTCGCCTCCACCCATGCCATTTCGGAAGTGCAGCAACCCAGATGTGGCTTCTGGCCTGGGAAAGTCCCTGAAGTTTAAAAGACAGCTGAGTGGTGAGGACGGACGGCAGCTGCGGCGAGGGAGCCTGGGAGGAGCTCTGACCGGTGAGTTGGGTTGCTTTTACCGGCAGAGTCCCCACCACCAGAGAGTTCCATGGGAGCAAATAAGCCCTCTAATGAATGGGCCTGCCCGTCTGCGGACCACTTGTTAAATCTAATCCTATTTGGAGATTAGCTAGATTCCTAAGTATAATTTGCATACAAGAAAAAGTATCCATTTGAAGTGTTCATGTGGATGGTTTTGGTGAATTTACCCAACAGTGTTAACTGCCGCCATAACCAAGATATAGACTGTTACCTGTTACCCGGGCTTTCCTGCTGTACTAAGATCTGTATGCTAGTGAAATTATATGTTACGTGCTCTTCTGTGTCTGACTTCTGTCATCCATTTCAGTGTTTCTAAGTCTCGTTCAGATTACGTAGCAGTAGTACACGGTCAGCTTCACAGCAAACAGGCAGACTTTCCAGAATGGCGCCATTTTACATTCCCATCAGTCACAGATGAGCAATCTAATTGTTCTACATCCTTGCCAGCATTTGGCATTACCAGTCCTTTTAATTCTAGCTATTTTAATGGCCAGATAGTTGTCTCAGATTATAGTTTTAATTTGTATGTTCTTGATGACTAAATGATATCAAACAATTTTTCACGCATGCATTAATATATCTTTTGTGGCATGCCTATTCAAATCTCTTACTCATTTGTTACTTTCACTCATTTCTTAATCATGTTAAGGTTTATTTTCAAAATTTTCAAATCCAGAAAACCCACAAATCACTTTTCTCAATTTGAAAAATTGCCACATTAAGATAACTTAAAAAAACACATTCTTAAGAAATAGTCCACCGTGAAATTTTTCATGTTATTAAATTTAACTTAAAAACAGTGAAGTATAAATATTTTACTTATCAATATTTTAAAAATGTATTGTTTTTTAAACCTTGAAACTGTTTTCTCTTGTCTGCTGCTCATACATGGTCTGCAAAATGGGTTATTCACACTTTTCTTGAAAACTGTGAATTTTTACTGTTTGGAGATGAAAGTTCTGAAAATAGAAATGCTCTATTTTTTTCACATGACTAGTAGAATCTGAAACATTTGGCCACTGTGGGGCCCTCCTATGATGGGGGATAAAACTGACCTCAGGCCAAGGGGTAGAAATTCAATTCATAAAAAATTGCTTTACTTTACTAAGCTTGTGGCAAATGTTCACATTTGATTTATACCAATATTGTTTAAATGCACGTTTGCTTCCTTTTATAGAGGCAGACCTTTTCTTTCTTTTAAGTAAGAGATCTTAAAGTTTATTAAGTCTGATCTTTATAAGTGGGAAAGTAAAACTTACTCTCCTTGCTCATTAGGTTCACTTAGGAAGGTTCCTTACTTTTGACCAACAGGAGGGATAGTAGTGTCTCTCTAGTTTCCTAAGGCAGTTTACTTTCAGTTTGAAAATAATGTATGAATACAGCTCTTGATGTAGAGATATAACCTGAAGCATCACATTTGGTCTTTAGCTTTAACAAAAAAAAAAAAAAAAAAGCAAAAACAGTCAGGCTTGATTTTGTTTCATTATCTCAACAACTCAAGTAATTCTATCCTTGAACAATTTAGATTGTTGTACAGTTATTTTTGGTAATTAAGTCTTTGGCCAGATAATTAAAAAATATGCTTAATAGTCCTTAGGAAAGCTTAAAAGAATCTCTCGAACATCATCTTGATTTTTTTTAAAAGTTGATTGAAACTTTTATTGCAATGTGAGCATTATTGATTGGTTCTTTAGATAACTTAGCTAAGAATTTAATTAAATAATATATTCAAAGCACTCAACCCAGTGACTAGTAGCTTTGAATATTTTGTACATAAACAACTGAATTTGGGAGGTGGAGAACTTGGGCTTGACAGTAGCAGTGTGAAATCTTTATTGACTGACATTCTACTTTGTATCAAGCCAAGAGAAGAAAGCATCATTTCTGTTGTTTAAGAAACATGATGTCTACTAGTTTCAGGTAACACACATGATCTTACCTTGAGATATATACCCTGTTGCTAAACTGAAATCCATCTGGTTTAGCCATTAGAAATCTGTGCTCAATACATAGTGTAACCTGAACACCGGCCACCTTTCTATTTCTTTGCTTGACTACAAGGAAATTTATTTTTTATTATTTTAAAAATTATATATGTGTGTGTGTGTATTGTGTGTGTGTGTATAAAACATCATTCTTCATTTTGTACTTTTTTTCATCTTGGTTGTAATCCCCGCAGACTTCCCACCACCACTTCACCCGTGTGCCATCACCATAGCCCCGTGCTCTCTTCCTGCCCCAGCTCTGATCCTATTCCCTTCCCTACCCCCATAGAATGTCTTTGGTTTATAGCTGTTTGTTGATTTTTATTTTTATTTTGTTATAATTGTATTTTTTTCTGATCCCTTATTTCTTTTGTTTTGTTTTTAATCAATAACTTATAAATCCTTAGTTTATATTTTAAAAATTTTGCCGCCTAGTTATTCTTGATAAATTTCACCAAATCCATAGAACTTTGAGAAAAAGATTTGTCATCTTTATCATCTACCTATCCCTCATCATAATGACAGCTAATTTTAGGAGCTTACTGTGTGGCAGGTATTGTTTTGCTTATTTAAACCTTCTGACATTCTCTTTGGGTTATGAAAAGGACATTCTTATTTTATAGATGAGAACACATAGGCACAGATAATTTAGGCTAAGATTTGAACCCAGGTTTTGTGGCCCCAGAGTCCATGCTTGTAATTTTACTGTGTTCCTAGCACAGTAGTTGCTCAACAATTTTTCAGTAAATTCCAGCAGAATTAATTGAAGTGAATCCTAGGTGGGAAAGTCTTTGTTCATCTGGAATCTGGGACTGACTCCCTCTGTACCTTATCTCTTAATTACAAAAGGAAATTAAAACTTGAGAGTTAATACATATTAAAAACCTTAAAATTCATCATTTGTTAACCCAGCCTTTCTGCTCCTCAGGCTCATTACAAAGAAATAATCATGAAGATTCGGAGAATTAACTCTAGTTATATTTAAATTAGCACTGTTCATAATTGGGAGTGCATATCATCTAAATATCTGGTCGTATTGATCAAATATTATCATATACAAATAAATTAGAAAATGACAGAAATAATGATTAATTCAGTTCCCTTTAAAAATGCACATGTGAGGATGCAATGGCCTTTTTATACCCTGCAATTTAATCCATGAGACACATTTTTGCTTCTGAGATTTTTTGGGTAGCTGATTGTGGTTAATATCATTTGGCCATAATAATGTATAATGATAAAGTTGCAGTGGCGGACAGTAGGTTTTCTTCTTTTTTTCTAACACAGTTGCAGACGGCTGTGTTTCAGGTGATTTAAACTGGACTTCTCTGGGGTTCATGCTAGGGTGCATCTTGGGTCCAGATCTGCTATGTCTCATGTTTCACTCTTCTTCAGATTGGCAGCCACCCGAGGAAGACATCCTATTGTCTAGGTGAAAGCCAGGATGACAGCACACATCTACATGTATAGACATGTTTCAGGTCTCAGGCCCGCTGACTTTCTGTTGGCCAAATCAGGTCACTTAGTCAGGTCCAGAGGCAGAAGCAGGTGCCACCCATGACACACCTTGGCAAGGATACAGACATGCAAACTAGTGGAGGAGAGTAAAGTATTGGGGCCAATGATTCCACCTATTAGAATTACCCTCTTTTTAGGGCCCTCCCTGGTGGCGCAGCGGGTTAAAGCACAGCATTAAGAAGCTAAAGCCACTTCCGCATGAGTTCAATTCCCGCCTGCCCTGGAGGTGACCACATGGCGTGGCAGACCTCTCCTGACCCGCCCACTGCTCCCCTCAGCAGTGTACTTCATCGATCTGCCTGTTTTGCTCCCCACTCTGTCTTTGGTGAATCCTACCACCCTCCACATCTCTGGCCTGTACCCCAGTTCTGTATGAATAAATAAATCTTTAAAAAAAAAAAAAGAATTACCCCCTTTTTAAAATCAGTCTTTTACAACAAAAATGTTTACATTAACTTGTCTTTTAATTATAAAAATTATATGTTGCTCAATGTGAGCAACATAGAAAATGCAGCACAAGAGCACTATAAGTTAAAAGCTACAAATCTCCCATTGCACCATGCAGATACTACCCATAGTAGACCTTTTAACATTTCTTCCTTAGCAAAAAGGCCCTTCCCAGTGGCACAGCGGGTTAAAGCACAGCACTAAGTTCAATCCCCGCCTGCCTTGGAGGTGATCCACATGATGCCCCACTCTGTCTCTGGTGAATCCTCTCACCACCCCTGCACTTCTGGCCTGTACCCCCATTCTGTATGCATAAATAAATAAATCTTTGAGGAAAAAAGTTATGAATCACTAAGAATATTAGATTTCAGGAAAATGCAACTGGAACCTTTCTTTCCAGGGTTGGCATTTATGCACTAGACTAAGAGATCACTTTGCCTACAACTGTGTAGAATGTCTTTAGAGGCTGATGATGTTTTATGTCTCGGTGGCCCACAGCTTGTTAAATAGGCACCAGGAAGCATCATGTAAACATTGACTGAGCTTTGGAGCCCCCTGATGAGGAAGAGGAGCATATTTAATCCTTAGACATACCCTTAGGTCTGGACATGGCTATGTGGTAATGTGTCTGACAGTTCACAGCATGAAAGCTGCAGAATGAAGGGCAGAATTTCAGGGTCTTCAGTGGAGGCTTCTTGATATGCAAATGAATGCCCGATTCCCAGTCTTGCACTCCACAGCAGTGGTGTGGGTTGCTGTCCTAAGAGAAATGGAGGGCTTCTTTTCCTTATTAGAGAGTGATATTCATCAAAACACCCTTGACTTCTTTGGAATGTAAAACAAAGAATGTATGTGTAACTTGCATTAATAATAAGAAATGAACTCTGTAGACAGTATAAATTAGTACTCTCAAAACTTAGAATCATGGTGTTTTAACATGGGGGAAGATTGAGATTTTTCTTTCTGGAACTATGGAAATCATTTTGGAAACTAATTTTCATCTGAAAA